GCTGCGAAAAGCATCAGGCAATTTGCCGAACATAATTGTCCAGGACCGACACATAAACGCATCTCCAGTCGTAAAAGCAGAATAGAACAGTGGTGCTCAGAGCCGACGTAATTGCCCAGTACATGTATACAGACAGGTATCGAGATCCCAAGAACGGAATCAGATAAACACGGGGAGACCGACAGCCGTGAAACAATCTGACAGTCTGAACCTACATGCATATGGGGGATCGGCAGATCAAGCAGTATGGCACACCGCTCGATGTAACGCTTGTCACCATAAGGCAGAAACGCCGCATGACCTAAAGTTTTATGTGACATGGCACAAGGGATTACACCGATCTAGCACTGCGCTCGTCTATATCATTAGGAGCCCTGATAACACTAAACTGTGAGAAAAGAAGTCGCGCATCGCTCAGGTTGCTCACGAGAGCAGTGAAATCCTCGCGCGTGAAAAAGGGCATATGCAGTTAGCAGCGCAAGGAAAGAGTTGAGGCGTGACGATATTTGGATCGATCGGCACTGATCCAAAAGACAGACATGATAAGCTATATCCAGATTGTTTCCGGAAAGGAATAGGACTTTCCAGGAAAGAATACCACAGTTCGGTTACGGTAGCGGATGCAAGACACCAGTCATAAGCCACCGCGACGTTGTCGAGAATGCGTTGAACACAGACCGCTTAAGGCAGGAGTTACAGCTGCAGTGTAGACCTAGAGATTATGCGAAGTGGTAAGACGTAGCCAGGAGCAGACTGGGTGAATGGTCTAGGTCGTGCCTGTCACGAAACCGAGATGGTGATTTGAGATTTTGTCTTGACCGGCAGGCAACTCAACCAAGGCGATCAGAGAGGAGCATCATTACACACCAACTTTGGCACGATGTATTACCCGAAGGCTTTAGCAGGCGCTAAGGGTGTTTAGCATTTTAGATGCATCGGGTTATTGGAATGTATAAACTCAGCGCGAATCAAGATGCTCACTGAACGTTCCAACACACCCTTTTTCGGGCGTCATATGTTTAAAAGATTACGCATTCGTATTGTCTCCGCCCAAGACGTTTTCCAGAAGAAAGTTGACGCAGACCTTGAGAACATACCGGGTGTAGTAGCGAATTGCTGGATGACATAGTGGTATTTCGGTGCCAGACGATAGCTGAGGCACAGATGCAAATCTTTCTCAGAGGTTCTAGAGCGAATCAGTGAAGTAGGGCTAAGTTGAATCCAAAGTAGTGTTTGATAAAAAAGCAAATGGAATTAAGTTTCTTTGCAACTATTCCCTCAGCTGACAAAGTCTAGAGGCCAGACCTGAACAACGATAGCTCTATACCAGATGATGGCCATGCGCCGCAATCTGCCAGCGAGCTACAATCTAATACTTGGTTTAGCAAACTACCTGGGAAGGCATCACGCCGAAGTTAGCCCGATCACGGCAGCCGCTCAGAGACCTACGAAAAAGGATGTGTATTTTACTGGAGCCTGAACACCAGGCAGCCACTCATGTCAGTTGAATAGGGCCATTAGCTCATCAAAAGTGCTAGCATATTTCGACCCGATCGAAGC